ACATGGGGTGACACGGTCGAATCTTGGTCGAAATACATGGAATGGTGACAGTCCTAGGTTGAAATCACGCATAACTTTTCATAAAGGTTAATGTACCATTCAAAACTTTTCTAAATGTTTTTAAAATTCATCGGTTGCACCCGTAGAATAGGAATATACATTTGCCCTCAAATAAAAAAATTAATTCAAGCTGAAAATTGCATAAGGTCCTAAGTAATATTGACAGATTCGCTTCGTCAACTTTCTCTTTGCATCCCCACGGTCATGTAAAGACATTCCCAGGTATTTTCAGCACATAAATCGATAAAAGAAGCTTTTATCTAGCATCCAATACGACAAACACATCAAGAAACGGTTCTGTGAATAAGTTATTAACGAAAGAGAAAGTCGACTAAGAGAATCGATCAATGTTACTTAGAACCTAATGCAAAGTTCAGCTTGAATTGCTCTTGTAAAAAAAATAGTTCTCGTAATAAAATCATGCATTATCCTTTTCTGTTCTGCTTTCATCCCATGCACACTGGGCCAGGAATGCAACCTAGCGGAGCAAAATTAATAACTCCGAAACGAAGCAATTTTTTTTCTGTTATTTCACATAACTCGAAAACAGTAGGCTGTGAAGTTTTAACGTATTAAGAAAAGTTGTTTATTTTAACAAGATAACCAACTTTGACAAAGTCGTGAAGTCTTCGAAACACAAATTCAATGCATTAAAAAAAGTTATAGAAAAAAAAAACATGTTCCACTAAAATGAAGAAATCTACAAAACACCAAAATATACCTCTCTCAAATTTTGATATTTTGTTTATCGAGTATTGCTTAATTTTTGCTGAAAATGTCAAAATTGTGTTTTTTATTCTCGTTTTTTCAACAATGTCTTTGAAATTTGAAGCTTAATCCAGTATGTTTCTTCAAAAAAGCTATTTATTTAATGTATTTTCATAAGAGAAAAATATAACATTATAAAGCTGTAAGCAAAAAAACCGAAACAGAAAAAAACCATATTTTCAAGATTTTTTTCTTCATATAACTTGGAACCAGTAGACTGTGGAAATTTTACGTCTTTGAAAGACCTGTTTATTTTGTCAAGATAAACAACTTTGCCCAAGACATCAAGTTTCCAAAACGTCAGAGAAAGAAGTTAGATTGTGACACCATCTTTGCGGAAGAGTTTTGTTCTATTTGATTATGTCAATAGATGGTCCTTATTATGATGAGAAATTTTGCCGAAGACACCAAGTCGCGGAAATGCTTCGTTTCGGAGTTATTAATTTTGCTCCGCTAGGTTGCATTCCTGACCCAGTGTGCAATGTAAGCATTAGACATTTTAAGAAATTGCGCTTGGTGTTTTTCTTGCCTGCTGTCTTCTGTCGCCATATTGTCATTATGAAAATGCCATTAGCCTTGGAATAAAATCCAAGAAATTTCAATAAAATAATGGCTAAATAAGAGATCCGAAATGATTTCCAGTGTGCATTGGTATGAATTTATGTATTGAGATCTATTTTCTGTAAAATTAAGGTGATTCCAACAAATTCATTTAATTTCTGAAACAATCTTTTTTGTTAACTTGAATTATTTTGGAGGCGCATTTATTTAACGCTCATATTATCTCAATATACACGATAACATTTCAAGCGCATATGTTTTGGAACTTCTAAAAAGTAATATATTTTCTTTAAGATTTTCACTAATGTCGCCATGAAACAAAATTGATTGCATGGTGATCTTGACACCAACACTCAAACCTATTTTAACCGCTAAAGATTTCCATTTGGTTTCAGCAGAACAGAACAACAACAAGCTAATTTATGGCGGTTGCTTTGAAGCCAATACAAATTAAATTGGCTTTATAACTGATTTTCACCAAAGCGTCATAAAACTGCTTGGATACAATATTACTCTTATAGAGGCTATGAGAACCTTTTGTAGAGTATGAGGCTTCCTGACAAAAGGTTTTAAGACAGCTTTATTGTGATTCTCAAACATGCTTTATAAACCTTATCAAGAGTGGTCCACTAAGCTGTATGACGATCTTATAGCGGTTATCAAAAGGTTGTGCTGGAGCTATTAATTTTATTGGTGGTTTTATGAAATTGATCTCAATAACCACTAATAGAGTGCAATAAAACAAGAAATGCTACTTGGGCTGCCTCTGTCGAAATTGTTCTGTATGCACTCACGAATCGCATGGTCATGGGCCAGAACGGACTTCTCAGTTTCATATGGTTCTGCTTCGTTTTCAGTGCTTCAATCCAGGCTAAACCTCCGTACCTTAGTATCGATGAAGACACACTAGACACACTAGCCAGAAGACACCTCTTGCTGCTGCTTGGACTAGAATTGTTCGGCATGATTCTTGCTATTGCGTTGATGGCCTTCACCGCCTTCTCGCACACATACTTACAAATTGAGTAAATAAAAAAACCTACACATGTTCGTCACTGACAGCATGACATGGTTTTCCTTAGCGATGACTGTTAGCTCAACTGAGTGACCAAAGCAGAATTGTCAAGATCACCGTGTATTGACGAGATTTTGCAGTGTAATGACGAGATTTTGACTATTTCAAACTAGTGGAACAGGATTTTGCAGTTATCAAAGGAACACATATTAGTTCTTGTTACGTTTCATGCCTTGTTGACAGTGACAAGACACAGCTTTGTCTACCGAGGATGATCTTGAAACAAGGAAAACATGAGTTAGTTAGTCTTCATCTATGTGATTCCTAATATTATATTCGTTGTTCCCTAGTTTGAAGTGGTTAAGACAAGGGTTCTGATGCATGGTCATTACGGGTGTCATTGCTTAATTTTATTGCAAAGGAATCCAATTTTGCCTGACACAGGGGTGCGCCTTTAAAGGTTGGTCTCAATCTTCGAAGGCTATACATAGCGCGACCTTTCAATTAGAATCGATTCCTTGCGATGAAGGCAAGAAAGACAACTGTATCAAAACCGAATACTTCATCACTGCTGGAGTTATACGACACACACTAAACTAAGGACACGGGATATACAGAAAGGGGGGGGGGGATATACTACCAATTAATTTGATTTGAACAATTAGAACATGAGCGGCGCCGGTGGTATAATGGTAAGCGTGACTGCCTCTCACCCCAAAGGGAATGGGTTCAATCCTAGTCGGCGCCGTTGAGAATTTCTGAGGCATAAATCTCTTATCACGCCTTCCTTCGGGAGGGAAGTAAAGCCGTTGGTCCCCTGCCCATGAGCTGATGGGCTGATAAGTAGGGTCATGGTGTGGAGCTGTCTCATTTGGTTCTCAAATACTGAGAAAAATTAATGTCTGAAACTGAACTGATGGTATACAAAAACTTAAGTAAGCTAACGATAGCGCTAACATAATGCCAAAAGGCTAGAAAAGTTTTGTAAACCCTTATGTATAACGATAAATTGAAATATTTTTCAGGACAGAAATCTAACCATATTTGACTTTAATGAGTCTTTGAGCATTACCCTTAAAGTCTAACATGTTACAATTTTGAGACACATCCCTCTTCATAAATTGAGATATTATTCAAGATTTTGGGCACATACTGCTCACTTAAGCATGTAGAATTAATGTTGTCCAAGGATCATTAGTAGAAGTTAACTCAATTAGAAAATGTTAGCTCGATATTTCACTTATTAGACCTTATTAAAGTAAAATATGCTAGAAAATTTTGTCGTAGAGAGTTGTGTTCAAACAGCGTAATTTGTCCATACGTACACAAATCACCCAAAGAGCGCGTTGGGTGCAGCCGTCTAACAACCGTTAATTCTTGGGTGTTTTTCAACCAATTGAGCTTTGTTTTTGTATGAGATTAGAGTCACCAATTAACAAGTCACATACAGAATATTAGCTCAATTAGTTTCACAGTGCTGGTCGGGAGATATATACATATTACATTATATTGTATATTGTGTGACAAATACCGCCAGACGTAATGAGAGATAAAATGTTCAACTCAAAACATTTCTAAACCACACCAGGAGTTAAACCCTGGGTACTACAGACTCACTGAATATGCTTGTCAACTGGGAGCCAAACATTCAGAAGCCGCACATGTAGTTTCTATTCTCAACTATCATCAAGTATCGTCATCTCATATAAATTAACCGCACTTTTTCATAACACATTATAGATTGTAAGCTTAATGGCAAAAAACCAAAAGACTCAGAGAACTAAGCTTAGAACCCAGCACACTTTATATGGCTCAACTAGGCAACGATACTAATAAAACCTAGCCTGGTGAAAAAATCACGAGTCGTTCGCGATCTATTTCATCACATATCGGGAACGAAATGTTGTGCAATGAAGCTAGAGCAAAAATATCTTTTAACATACGCTCTCTCTTGCAGTAAGCCAAAGTGGGAGTAATAGCTCAGTTCCTTTCAATCTCAAACAAGAAAGTTTGCTTGGAAAATACCGCTTTGCGAAATTCCCATCGATAATTTCCCTAGTGAAAACATCTAGCTTGCCATAAAGAACTTTAAGTGATGTTTCCAACACTGCTCCGAAGAATCCATAGGTTGAATCCATTGTGTTGGTTTCTTGCCTGAGCAAACTAAGCAAAGGGATCCCCAGAATATATTCTATAACTTGATAAAGATTAAACACCAAAATAAACTTTTGCTTGACTCCACTGACCGCTAACACCATTTAACATCGAATTCAAACACCTTCCAGGAACGCTTCACAATACCAACCGATATACAAAACATCCTGTCTACATGGCTATTGCATGGTACAGATACAGACCACAAATCAAACACACTCCATAATCAGTATAATCCTTGCACTCACCAGTACAGTAGTAAGTGTATTCGTAGTACCTAGTAGACACGTATAGTACTGTAACCGTAACGACACACTCCATAGTTGGCTGTTTCCGTAAATTGATGCCAATGTGCCTCGTGCATTCCGCGAATAGGCTATTAAACTGATGTTTCTTATATTTTTCCAGATTCCCCAAAGCATTATGGTGAGTACCAAAGCACATGGCCCGCCGTTCGATGACGACGGGTCGTATCGATAAAATCAAGCACGAGAGTAAGTTTAAACCGAACGATTTACGACCCATTGGCATTTAAGATGAACGACGCACGAAGTATGCTAGTGTAGTGGAGCTTGCTTACTCCGGACATTGCCTTCCTGTATCGAAGCAACGATACGATTATTGAAAATTAGGAAATAATTGATCCAAGGAAATTACCGCAACAAGATAGATGGAAATGTCATGAACACAAAATTATCAAATGAGAGCAAACCAAGTCTGAATCGATCTCAGCTAATCTGCTATGTATAAAGCACGGCAATATCAAAATATTAATTTCTGGAGGTGAAAGCATTACATCACAGTTTATTATATTTTTTTTTTCGAAGAAATGGATGCTTATGGTCCATGCAGAAAAAATATTAATTTTACATACCAAATGGTCTTGGTTATGCAATTTATAAGTAGGAGTCATAAAATGATAGTTCTAGGAATAAAGATCAACACTCCGAATTAACTTTGATAACTGGTGTATTTCTTTTTCGTACACAATCTATGCCATTGAGTGTTTAGTGATTTACAAACGATGACCCCATCGCATTAAGTTTCATTATTGATCTATAGTAAATGCGAATTGAACTAGCTTACTAAGGTTTATTAAATTATTTTAATTTTGCACCTTTTCCGGCTAAAAAAATATCCTACAGGTTCAGCATCCTCCAATTTGGTTGGAAAGTTCACCCAGAGCGTACGGCGGATCGTGCAAGATGTCAAAGATGAAGGATCGCCAAGTAGGTTTAATGTTTCCAACAACCATCACTACCGACTTTCCATCACTGTACTTTGGAAGACGGCCGGCTATGACGATGATTAACTATCCATTTCCTCCCCCTTTTCCATGATTTCGTTATCCGTTTACGCCAGGCGGAATGAGTCGCGAGGAGCTACTTGAAACCAACGAGCGATTGCGAGCGGTGCGCTTACGCCTGGAAGAGTCATACGATACGGCGAAAAAGGCATTAGTTACCCTAATGAACAAGTACGGAGACTCCAAGAGCCAGCGGAACGTTTTCAATCGGTATCCGATGCTGAAACTGATGATTAAGGTAATTTTTGTTTTAATAAAATAGCTTTAGCATTCTCTAGGAACCGCTTGCAAAAGTTGAAGGTACGGAAATCAAAACGACCAATCAAGAGATCAATCTTTGAAAAAACACTTATAACAAATCGTAAAAAATACAACACAAATGGTTTTGTGGAGCATTGCTCACACTAGATATGGAAAAATTAACCGAACGATAGATACCTTGTTGTTTATCTTTCCCTCTGTGGACGCTACGTACGTACGACCAAAATCGATCCACAAAACATTTTATCGAAATTCATACACCTCATACAAAATGTAAGGTGTGTGTGTGTGTGTGTGTGTGTGTGTGTGTGTGTGTGTGTGTGTGTGTGTGTGTGTACAATCTAACCCCCACTGTCCGGCAGTGTTATAATGGAAGAAAACTGCTTTTTATTACCCTTAAATTAAAGCAGGTTTAGTCCGGGAGTTAGAAGTTGTTAGCTCTATTGCAGCTCCAGTGACCCATTTCAGAATGCCTGGTAATTCACGACCACTCCGAGGTCACTTTTACTTACAATAAGCCCCGCATGTTCACTCTACCTTTATCAAATGGATAATGGTACCATAAACACACTTCCAGATTCAAAAAATATTATTTCCAAATCTGGCACGTATATAGTTTTGACATTTGTTCAACTGTATTAAATCGATTTGAATGGACATTTCTTACCAATTTTGTTTCGAATACCTCTTGATTCATCTGCTGGCAGCACTTAGGGGAGAATGGTATACAACGCACCCCCTGGGCAGAACGCACCAGCTGACTTTAATTTTTGTTTTTCATGGCTTTCACGTAACTTTTTTGTTGTCTTATCAAGCAGCACTTCTAGCATAGCATCTGAACTCAAAATCCTGCATGATAAATCCTTGAATTGGATTGAAAATTCCAAGAAAAACTCCATACAAAATGAAAAAGTGCGTCTTACCCCGGGGGTGCGTTATGTACTGTTCTCCCCTACTGGCCCTTACCGGCGACCAACTTGTCTGCCCGCAAAAGCAACAATGCCTAAATCTCAAGGCTCTCCGGACGTCCCCTCGAAAATGCAATCGAGATATGTATAAGAACAATCTTCAACTGGAACGTACTCACCAAATCAATACATCCGGGAGCACATTCCCGATGCTTATTTTTCTCTCGCATGTCCGTCGTCGTCGAACGGCAAAAAAAAGGGAACTTGGTGAGCAATTTTGTGGTACGGAATTTTCACTGAACATAAACCGCGAATTTACGAATTTCAGCACTCCCAACCGCGAAATACGTTCAGAAGCACTTTTGGTACACTTTCGATCAATTTCTTTCGAAAACACAAAAAAAAAGTTGCAAGTGAGCCAACATCAACACCCGAGTCAACACCGATTGTGCCGAACTCTTTCACGCACCTTGCAGCGCAAAAAAAAAAAAAAAAAAAAAATCACCTCATACAAAATGTAAGGTGGGGCAAAAGTTCGATTTGAGGTTTTCGACGTCTTGCAAAATAAAACTTATTGTTCTGGAAATTGTTTGGAAGGTCTTTTAGAGACAGACATTTCATCAAACAATCACAAAATTTGGTGGTGTTTTCGAAGAATTATAGGTAAGTGTGCTTTGGGATGATACATTATAACTTATGTACCAACTTTGGGGCGTGCATCAAGATAAATGTTTTAGTAAAGCGGTAATATTATTGCAGGACATGATTGCGTTTTTCTTAATGATAGTTTTAGGAGTATCAGCCTTTTGATATGTCATCAGGAAGCTGTAATTGCCTATAGTGGGACAAAAGTTCGAGTAAGCGGGGCAAAAGTTCAAGTCGTGTTCCAAACTCATGTAATTATTCCCAATTGTGTAAAACGCATTTATTTACTCGAATCAATCAAAACCACCGCTGGGGCAAAAGTCCGTTTTGAACACTTTTCTCAAAAAAAAATCATTCTAACTATAAATTGACTAAAAACTCATCAAAGTTCTGCAACAGAAAGTTGTAAACCCTTAATGAGGGATCATATGAATTAGTTAGATTCTAAGGTGTCATCACCAATTAATGAAAACTTCACATTGTAGTCGTAATACGTATCTGTCATGGATACAAATTACTAAGTGGAATAAAATGAAAAGAAATTACCTTTTTTGCCCATGTGAGTATTCCACTGACATCCCAATAAATAAATTTAAAGATTTTATTCTTGAACTGTTTTGAAAATTTAAGGACATGGGTTTCTTTTAAAAAAGCTTGGATATCATAGAAGACGGATCAAAATATTTCAAGATTCTGCCACGCCATATATAAAAATAATCAAGATCTATAGATGATTGCCCACGGAGGGCTCTCCTCTCTAAAACTGACAACCCCTGATGAGTACTGCTATTTTCATAAATATATATCATATATTACATAAGTAGTAGCAAAAGCGTCTCAAATGCCGTTCTATGTAAAATGACGCAAAACAATGGAGTTTTTATGAAAGTTGATCATGATGATCATGATGGCTATTTGCATCAATGACGTTTATATAAGTTCTATATAAGTTTTTATATATCTTTATTAAATAATGAGACTTTCAGCCCTGGGCTAGTTCGTCTCAGAACCCACCCCGTCCCCCATATGATCTTCAAACTTAGAAATAACTAAATTATCACGTGACTGAATCCATCTTTGATATAAAGAATCATTTACGTCTGATCAAGGGGTGTCTATGATATTTTATGTAAAATTAAGTGCTCCGAGACTTAAACGTTTGTTACCCGACGAAAAGTACGTTTGATTGAGTTAAATTTCACGTCTGTTATGACACAATTTTATGTCAAAATTTACGCTCGTATGTGTCAGTCTCAGAGCACCTAGACTTACATGATTTTTTCTAAGTAAGTAGGTATCCCTCGAGAACTGACAAGAATCTGATAACAAGATGATTAGTGATCATATTTAGTGTTCATCATTACATTGACAACAACCATAGATGTTCCGGGTGCTTCCGTAGAAGTGACACGATGATATTATACCTATAATTCAAATTAATATGACATATCATATACAAGCATAAAATCCAGGCTACTTAGTCGTAAGTGCAAGATGCAGTTTTGCCCTGAAAATAGTCTGTTAATCATGTCAGGAAGTTATCGGCTCCGAAATCCATTGATAACAATTTGTTTTCCTCTGTTCGGGACCTAACATCACTGCGACTAGTAATTTTATCTATTGTAGTATATCCCGTGTCCTAAGTCTAGTGCATGTCGAGCTACTCCATGACTATTGAAAAATGATGAAGCATTCGATTTTTTTACAGTTGTCATTCTTGGATTTATCGCAAGGATCCGACTCTAATTGAAACGTTCCGCTATTTATACCCTTGGGAGTATTGAAACACCCTCCAAAGGCGCGCCCCTTTGTCAGTCAAAATTGGATTCCTTAGCAATAAAATTAAACAATGACACCGATAATGTAATGCCACTTCAAACTAGGTAACAACGAATAGAAGATGAGGAATCACATATATGAAGACTAAGTAACTCATTTTTTCCTTGTTTCAAGATGATTCTGAGTGGACAAAGCCGAGTCTTGTAACTATCAACAAGACATAAAAAAGTAACAAGGACTAAAATGTGTTCCTTTGAGAACTGAAAAATCCTGTTCCCCTAGTTTGAAGTAGTCAGTACTAGGAATCGGTGGTAGATCTTACATCCCGTAACGTACAACAAAAAGGTGATTTATCTACGTTACGGGCGTTCTCTACCTTGAAATCAAATCAAAAAGTGGTCTTCAAAGCAATAATTATTTAGCTGATCAAATTTCATATAAGCACACCTTTCAAGCTTTTCCATAAATTATTTTTGCACACGGCTTGAACGATGAGAACAAAAAGTTCTCTTTTCCTATAATAATTCGCATCTAAACTTCAAACATATAGTGCAGTATGAGTTCCCTTCCAAATGAACTAAAGATTTGGGGAATGATCAGGACCTCATGATCAGAATTATCATGATACAAACGTTCGGAAGCCCTAGATTAACGTTAATTATTTAAACTATTTAGAACATAAAATATAAACTGCTTTTGAACGGACTATATTCTTTCTTCGTGTGTGGTAGAGAAAGCAATGTACAATGTTTTTATCGTATACGGATCGTGAAAGTTATAGCAGAAACGTACAATGGTGACAATGTTTTACTTACATGCTATGCATTATTCTATTCTGTTTTAGTCGGTTTTTATTTTTTTCTTTTGACATAGTGACGTAGATTATCCTGTCGCATCATTCGAATGATGGGGCAATTTTTTGCGTAATTTGTTCTGTGTGATTCTTCCGTGTTCTAAGATGCCAACAGGGTGTGTAAAAGTTTGATTGTAAAAGTAAGTCTAATGATTCCATGCGATGTGAAATAATGTTATTGATAAAGAAAAGCATTGTAAAGCATGCAGCGTGCTTCATATGATGGAAGGGAAAATGCGGTCCAATTCAATGCGTTCCTCGTTTAAGGTAATGTAAGGAATCTATACTTGGTTAGAGTATTCCAGAATAGGTTTAACGTATGTAATGTATATTAATTTAATTGTGTATGGGTCTTGACAATTATAGCTGAACCATCTTATGATGGTATTATAATGTTCTACAAAGTGAGCTTGGAGTCTAGGATTACACCTAGGAGCCTTACAATTTCTAATATTTCTCTTTTTGGTTGCCTAAAAACATTTCAAAAAGAAGTTTTTTCTATTTTTCTGCTAAATACTATTGCGTTACATTTTTTACGTTTTGTTGGAGAAGACTTTTAATGCACCAAGTGTAAAATAAGTTGATTTTCTTTTGGCATTCTTCTGCGTCACTTGAATTACTTATTTCCATGGAGAGCTTCATGTCATCTCCATAAATAAATACTTTTATTTTTTATGTATGTAGGAAATTTCGTTTACGTACATCAACAAAATGCCGTAACAAAGTGGTGACTGAAATGGGATCTGAAAGTTTATTTTGAAAATGAACTATTTGTTTGTGTTGCGTTAAATATGATTAGAGCCAATTCAAAAGTGTACACTCCATTCCTATTTTTTTGCAATTTAAAGAGTAATAATGCTATGTCAATTTGGTCAAATGCTTTACTGAAGTCAGTATACGTACTTGCCATTGTCCATTGAGTTAATAATAAAGGTTAAAAATTCTAGAAGATTAGCTGTTCTCTCTGTGCTGTTTGTTTGAAACTTGATTAATTGCTGAAATTTTTTGTCGTTTACGATTGATTAAAAAAAATAGGATGAAAGAGATAATGGTAATTCCACGATAGTAACTGATATTAAAATAGGCACCAAATGAGACGATTTCCAAAATTCAGGGAATTTTCCATTTTTCAGAAATATATTGAAACGGCATTCTAAAGGAAGGATATGTTGTTCTGAAAGATTCTTCAAAACTACAGATGCAATTCCGTTAGGTCGTGGTCCTTTAGAATCGTCATTTTTTTTTAGTTCGCTCGAAGATTATCCATGTTAGACATGTTTTCTTATATTTCTTATTAGAATAATTTTGCTTTGTTGCCATTCACTGTGATATAAACTTGTAGTAATAATGCTGTTGAAAATATGTGTAAACGGTTTCAATCATATTGGAAATAGATGTTTTTGCCCCGTAATGTGGGTAGATCACCTTTTCGTGGTACGTTACGGGATGTTAGATCTGCCATCGATACCTAGCCCTGACTACTTCAAAGGATTCCTGATTTAGTTTGTAAAGCAGTTTACTCAACATAATTCTATGAATTTGGGTTACTTGGGATTTTCAGTTATCAAAGGAACACAGTTTAGTCCATGTTACTTGTCATGCCTTACTAATTCTATAGAATTTTATTTCAATCAAACATTTGGTTCCTGTTATATGACCAAAATAGTAAATTTTTGTAATAGTATAGTAATACTAACTAATTTTTATCAGCGATGGCTGAATCGATATGAGCGCTAGTATAATTTTTTTTGCATCTGTTTCCCATAGACACCTCTTGAACGTCATCCCGATTAGACATTTGGTTCCGGAGCTATGACCAAAGTAACACATATAAACAATGCACTTATTTTATAGTTGTTTTCACCTATATCAACGTCAAATTACCTTCTCAATATAATGTCTACACCCACGTATCCCAAGTAACCTTGCAAGTTTTATCGTGGTTTTAAAGTATTCTACAAGTCCAAATTATGGACTGCAGACCATTCGTAAAACCCATTTTTTTTTACTTGGGATCTTCCAAATGCCCATGCAACCATAATATGGATACAGTACTGGACATAAACAATAATACACCTCCATTGTTTTGTCTCTCCATAAAATTTCAAAGAGCTCTTATTTTTAGTATACACATAAATATGTTTACTGCAGGTTGATGAAATATTCAGAATTCATCAGCATAATTTGTAATTTGATTGGTCAAGCCTGTATAAAGTAAGAGCAATTTTGATAAATCTCTTCTTATTGACTACCATTTTTGAGTCTGATATTATTTGAAGTACAATGACCTGAACTAGTTGAAATTTTAAGCGTTTGCAGTCTAAACGTTATTCATTCAAACTGCTCAGAATTTAATAAAATCCGTTCACGACGAAAAAAGTTCTAACTACTTAATGAACAAGCAAAATACTCCGAAATTTAGAATCAAATACTAAAACGTAACAGCAAATTTTACTTTCTTTGAGAGACATAAAAATAATGCTGTATTATTTTGCATGACCATTACTGTATTTAATATGATGTATTGACAACGATAGGTGAATTAATCATTATCATTATTTGATTACATATTGTTAGTACATTTTAATATTTAAACTAATTCTAAATCTGTAAGATTATTGCATCATATTGACAAAGTTTGCGAATGTCGACAAGCATTCCAACGCGATAAATTCTTGCCTCTTCTAGCTAGGCTATCTGGATTCCATAATTACATTTATTTTTTAAATATTATTCAACCATATCTTTCTTTGAAAGTCGATTCTTTGATTTGAGAAGCCAGAAGATCAGCCAATTTATTGAACCCAATCTTAATGTGACAGTAATTTGCTTCTTTATCACGCTCAGCTGACATGAAAATTGTCGCGACGCAGAAGCTAAAAAACGTAAAACGTAATCGTATCATTTTTCCTCCAAAGAAAAACAGAAATCGCATTATTTCCACAGAAGAAGAAAACTCATCAACGCATATTGTAACAAGATTAATGAATTTTAAGATGCATACTTGACATGGCCCTGTCGTTTCTCATCTATTCGCAGGACGTCATTCGCTTAGAAACCCAATACTGGACGTTGGTGGAAATTCCCAAACAGGAAAAGCTCGAAACAGTCCCTGCCTTTGTGCTGCGTGCGTGCAGCATCATGGAAAAATCTCAAAAGTCAGGCGAAGGTGTCAAAACATCCGCCAAACTAGCGGAAGAGGCTGCGGAAAAGCGAGAACGGATGGAGCGTCTAGAAGGTGAGTTGAATCGTTAAATCGCTCATGCATGCATGAAATTATTTTTCCATTCATTCACGATGCTATCTGCATTTTTGATCTTTCTGTTTTTCCTCCATGAAGTTATGACAACCGCACAGATAGAACAGGAGAATACGCAAATGATTAATGATTTATACCGCTTACTGAAAAAATACACCGGTCTGAGAAACCTAATTCGGGAATTAAAGGTGAATAGGATTTGATTTATGATAATTATTCGATAACTAACATTTTCTCTTGTTTGACAGTCTGAGTACGGCAATTCTAAAATTTATCCAATTTTTCCGCGGTACACGATGCTAAAGGACATGATCAAGGATATTATGCATGACCCGGACTATATGGAAGTTTGCCATGAGGTGGATAATTGATATATAAAAAAATACCCTGTGAATTTCCTACCCTCCCAAACTCCGTTCCTGATTAAATGAAATCGTCATATGCATATTTTCAGTTTTCACCCTCTATCCGCCATTCTCGTAGTTTAGCTGTTATGCGTTTATTTTACGTGTCACCATATTCCAATTCAACGAGGTATGCTCTATCAACACTGCGTGGATAAACGGTACAATGAAGTTTGCCACTTTTCCCTTTGTGTTTGCACTTTACCGACGACTGTCTTTTGAGATGTAGGTATCCAGAGGTAAATGCTTCAATTTTTTTTTTTTCATCTTCTCCAGTTTGTGTCAATTTGCAAGAATACGATATTTAAATTTCCATTCAACCGTAGCATCCTTACGACGGTTTTATACTGAGATTATGCCTTAATACATTCAAAACATTCTGCATTCTTTTATGAAAAGATTTCAATAGTGCGCAAAATTCAGGCATCGAACAATTATCTACCAGTAAAGGAGATTATGTTTATTGTAATAGAAGAACGATAAAATTGAATTGAAAAGCTGAGGAGTTACATCACGTTAAGAATGCAGTTGAAGTAACGCGAGTTCATGACATGGCTAACTAGTAAAGGTTCGATACTTTAAACATACCTGGGATGCGATATATGACAGATCGGTAAATAGGTCAGAGGTTTCTCTCTAACCTCTAAATTGCTCAAATGATGAGACGTCAAAACAAATCCTGCTGTAGACTTAACATCATAATACTGAATACATGAGCTAACCTCAAAAGCACTGCGAATGAAGGTGGCTCAAAAAGAAGTATTTCTTTTAATGATTTTTTTCAGCCTCCTGATTTTGGGTCAGATTATCTGGGAGTTATAAATAAACCATTAGAGTAGGTGGTTGATATTGTGTTGCTTAGTTGAGTGTAAAATTAGTAGTGTTTCTTTCACCATGTCAACTTTTTTTCAAGTACATGTTCTTAGCCTCTCGATAAAGTTTTCTTTAAAAAATAATGCTTAAAATGTGTAAGGGCTCCATGTTGAATTTATTTATTGCAAAGTATACATTAAACATCCATCTTGAGATTAATGAGAAAGATTTGGAATTACGATTATGTGAAATTATTGAAAGATAAAGGTCTGATGCGCGAAGGGGCTGACACAATCGGCTGTATTTGAAATAACTCTTTAACTGTTCAAAATTTTGGATACAACATTAGCAACACACTTTGATTTAATGATATTTTTAGTGTTTAAAAATTAATGAAGAACGTATAATGAAGTTGGAGGTAAACCATGCGGCATTTCGCTCTGAATGTTTGGCAGAAGAAAATCAGCTTGCGTTTCAATAAATAGCAACCAAGTGCCAGGAGGAACGAGAATCCATTCGATTGTTTATATTTGAATATTGCGGGGTTGTCAGCAAACTACGTAGCATTACGTCAGATTGTTGAGGAACAACGTCCATTTTTAGTTTTATTAGAACAAACTCATATTGCAGAAATGGAAGCATTTGATCAGTATAGTATTCCAGGATATAATGTTGCTGCTTGTTTATCGCATTCTAGATACACTGGTGGTGTTGCTATTTATGTCAAAGAATCAGTTCAATTCAACCTTCGTACCAACAAAATTAGTGATGGTAACTGGTTCTTGGGCATTACAGTTGAACGTGGCATAATGATGGGAAATTATGGTGTTTTTATTTATTATTTATTTATTATATAATCTTCATCTGACTAACAGTCCTAAGGTTCAATTTAATATGATGTATTTTCGAAAGATTCACAAGCAGTTTTTTTTCGACGCACCATTTCTGATTGCAAAAAGTTCGCGCCATTTTCTGTAAAATATCAAATGGAAAAAAATAACGCGAGCTTTTTGAAATCTGAAATGAATATAAAAAAAAATGCTTTTGAATTTTTCGAAAATGCTTAAAAGTAAATTGAACCTTTCAATGAAGTTTCGATGGGGAAAAGCCTGAATGAACCAGCTACAGTAGGCGAAAAACCTCATGTCTTTCCACACAACATATACAATAATTAATTAGCGAATCATAGAGAAAATAAACGAAAATAGAATCACAACACAACAATTAAGCCATTCCTTATATCTAGCAAATATATTGGCTGATGATTTTAATATTAATTGACAAGATAACTATTCGAATCATTTTAAGCTTTTATCTGATTCTTTCAATTTTACAAAAACGGTAGATGATAATACGCGTATTTTCATGCACAGTAGAACATTATTTGATCTTGTTAACTCCAATTTTGATTATTAAATTATGAATATTGATTTGAAAATAACCGATCATGAGACCATAGTATATTCTCATAACAATAATAACGAGGGTTTTGTAAAATTTAAACGCTGGAGGAAATATTCAAGACAGCCTGTTTCGAATCTTGTTGAGAGAAGCGTGGATTTTCCATACGCGGCCGGTAATGTAGATGAAACTGTTCTAACTAACGCTTTGGAAACCTGCAACAATCAATTAGTTGAGCAAAATTTTGATTCTTTGAAAAACTTGCACAGGTGGTACAATTTGAAGTTTTTGTTGCTTAAATGTTGTCCCTGGTCAAATAGTGATAATCATTAGAATATGTACCAATCGCACGTAATAAATATTCACAATCGATAAAAAAAACTCGTTGTGAACATGTCCATTTTTTATTGCTCTGTTGGCGAGATTTTTAGCACAATCTTGTAGGAGTATGCCCAGAGGAAGATTGATCAGTATCAAAACAACAGCAAAGAGGTATGGGAAATTTTGAAATCTTTATTAAAACCTAGTGATTGCAAACCACGGTCCTTAATTTTTAATGCACAGTCAGAGCAAGTAATTGCATCTAGGTTTAATGATTATTTCCATAATAGTGTTGCATTGATTAATTAATCTATTGAGGTTCATCGACCAACCTGACGGAATAAAACAGCCGGTCAATACTAATTGTAGAGTTGGTGAAAACCTTACCATTTAATTAGATGAACTTAAAAATATTTGCTTTTATTAGGAAAAACGTCTGGAGTAGATAGAGTTATTCAAGCATGCTTTCATGTTATTTGTCACATTCTACCATACACACCGTGCCGGCTCTCAACTTTGTTTTCATTGAACACTTCGACGGTTGTTAATTGAGAGCTTTCTACTGCCGTTAATACGCATAAGAGTCCCACGGTGCGTAAGGATTGCATAAAACATAAGACAGTTATGCGTATAACGGCAGTCTAACTTCTGTGCCATTTTTGCAGTAATTAGTATATAATACAATCATACTCTATGCCCTGGGAAGTCTAGAAAATTTTCCTTGTCCGGACCAGAAATCGAACCCAGCCGCCTCCAGAATGGTCTTGTTTTATAACTGCGCCCTTCACCAACCTAGCTAAGGGAGGATCCAAATACTCAAAACATACAACATCTAACAAAACAATCAAGGAAGTTGCTACTCTCGAAAGTCGGATTTTAAAAGTGCCGAATTTCATTTCCAGGGTCTGTGTTGAAAAAACCGTGGTATTGATTTGCGTAGGCGTACTTTGGTTTGCGTGGAAAGGGCCTTACAACTTTTGTTTACAAATGCTTTATTGCCGTTTTCAAATGTTACGCCTGAAACGTCCAACAAAAAGTGCCATCCCCAAATAACATGTCTCTTTATTATTTTCAGTGCACACAAACGGCGATCAATTCAAACTACTATAAATACCACTAATTGTCGGACAAACTCATTCTGATAGCACTTAAATTGAGTCAAACTGTGCCTCTACCGTACAAACTTTTTTTTGTCATACCCATTTTTATTCAACTTTTTTTCCTTTCCGGTCTTTTTGTCTACGTGAATCTTTTTTTCTACTACTCCCGGTGCGATCAACGAACTTTAAAAAAAATGGGACGCCAAAAAGACCAAACTGTATATATATACAGGTATACGATTGTGCATCAGTGTGATGGCGTTCATTGTTATTCAGATCTTCTCAGTGGAGTAGTTCATTTTTCAATTGAGTTGAAAATAAATTACCGACTGGCTTGGGAAGGCAACGACAAAGTGAATGAGAAAGTAGTGCATATAAAATTGGTTAAAGAATTTAAATGCACTCCTCCTTATAAATGCAGTGTTGATGAGAAATACAATCCTTAACAAAAATCAAAGCAATGAAATTGTTCTCTATAATTGTTTTTTTTTCTATCCCTTTTCTTACCATAAACTAACCATCAAATAGCGTACATGAAGTCGAGTAAGTCAAAGCTGTCCATTTCGCATACGTGTTATGATCAAGCGATGGTACACAGTAGGCTGTGAAATACTACTACTTCTTCAGTTATCCCCGTTGGTATAACACAGCAATCATGCGATATCTGGAAATGATGTCTGCCCTATTTCGTATTTGGTGGATAATACGCGTATTCATTTAAGTGAAAAACATTTAAGTTACGATAATTTAGCCAGAAAACAAACAATACAAATGATCAAAACTCAAAGCTTCATTCATTTTAGGCAACAATGCGATGACTAATCACATTATATCCCACCCCATCAAATACTGTCTTTATCTATACACTGTAAAATTTAACTATGTAATTTAACACTAACATAATACAAAAACTGAATCATCGCGAAGACAAAATTTTGAAACATCCCACCTTTCGATGTGACGCATATAAGCATATAGTGAGGTAATATTTACACATCAAAACCGAATCAAGGAAACAAACGTGTTACGTTCTTTCTAAATCTATCTATTTTGTATATTTCAAATGAAAAGCAAGCAACACAAACAAATCAACCAACACTACAGACTAACACACATTGCTGAGGAGACGAACAAAACGATACAGTCATTATAACTATCTGCATAACACGAAAAAATGACCAATATTAGCTACGACTAGACAAGAAAAGCAAAAGATGGAACAAACTAAATAACAAATTCATACCGATAAATGTAGTAGAGTCGATGCATATACTTGAAGAACGCTTTTCGTGTAACAGAATAGGGAAATGACTCTAAAGTATTCCGAAGGAA